ATATAAAACAGAAACTACTCATATTTGAAAAAAAAAATTATTTTGATTATGAATTGGTTATACAAGCATCTAATAACAAAAGCTTAAATTTTGTACATGTACTTATGTATGTAATATGATATAGAGAATCGTACTCAATAAAAGAACTCAGTTTCGAATTTTTTGCTGTTACATTGTTTTGCATTTTAAGTGACGATATGTATATATGTATGTATGTTCTTTATGAAAAGAAATTTTTCTTTATACAAATGTCGCTTTGCAGCTATTTCTATATATACCATACATATGTACATATATATAATTTCTTCTCTTATTTTCACTAATTTCAAGGTTTGAAACTATCATATTCCCTTATACATACATGCGTTACTGAAAACTGAGTTATTATAAGTGAGTGTACCTACATATGTACATCGTTCGTCTACATTCTTGTCCAATGCTCAAATATATACATACTTTGATTACAACTGCATATTTAACTCATTTAACCTAATTCTCGCTATCAGAGTTGACAATATTTTATTTTCTTTATACAAATTTATTCGCCTTTCTAAAAATATTCTATTATTCGTTATTTAAATTGTTATATTTGCTTATGTTCTCTCTTTTTAAACAACAACTCTTATCAGATTATTTATTCCACTGTATATAACTGACATATGTCAAATGTCAATTGTTTTTTTTTTTTTGTAAATTACTGCAATAACGAGTTCCACATTATTCCAGCAAATGAACATTTATCGACAATGAATGTTAGCAAGAAATATTCAAAGAGAGCTGCGTTATTATCAAACTAACACGTTTCATTTAAGTAATTGTTGTTGTTATTTTTGTTTCTAGTTACTACACGCACACTTAGGCTTTCTTTTAATTGAGCAAATCTTGTCTTTAAATGTCGGAAGTTCAAAGGCTTTCGAATTTAGAACACCTGCACAGCTAGCTAGAGCTGACTTTGATTTGTGTTGCTTAGCGCCAGCACTGAAGAGCGGCCCAAACAAGTTGGACCAGTTAAATCACAAGACGCCAGAAATTTGTCCGAGTTCTTTGTGTGATGGCTTGAATGTCCGTAATATCCGGCGGATTAGGTTTACACAACTTGTTGCAAAACTGCGAGTGATGCCGCGTATGTCCTCGCATTGGAAAGTTGACCGGCACAACGGCTGTCCGCCTGGAATTGTAATCTAATTAAGAGCACTGACACAAAAGTGTGGCTCTGAAGTGTGAACTTCACGCGCGCAAACGCGTTATTTCTTAGATAGCATTTTTTTGTTATTGTTGTTGTGATTTTGGTATTTTTCGTTTAGAAAATAAATTTTGAGCTGCGCTGGATGTGGTTTTTGTTGTTGCTGCTAACGCTGTTGTGCGCCATTTTTGTATCGCTCTTCATAGCGCTGCTCACTCTCGCCTTCATTTGTAAGTTAGTTGTTGTTTAAATTGATATTAGTTTGTCTAGCTTACACGTTATTGGTGTGCTTACTGTCTGGTCGGTAGTGGGCCATATCGCTTGGAAGTATCGTGGAAGGGGCGTTACTGTCGATTTCTTGTTGGAAGTCGGCTGTGTGTTTGTTGTTGTGAAGGCTGTTTGTAGTTTTGTCGCTTTGCTAAAAAAACTCGTTGTTGCCGCAACACCCTGCCAATCTTCGCACTGGAGCCCACATTCACATGTGCGCTCACGTTCGATGCGGGGTGGACATGTGCTGTTTTTATTGTTATTTTCCACTCGAACTCTTTTGCTGTTGTTGTGTTATGTGTACTCCGCCTTTTACTGGCGGTAAATAAGCTAACCGACTGTGCCGACCGCGACTAGCGGCAGGTGTTGTCGTCACTAGCTCACAGCAACAACAAGTGCGGTTGTGTGCAGCTCTACTCGTTGTTGTAATTTATTTTGGTTTTTTTTTTCTTTCTATATTATTTGTTGTTGCTTTATTGCGTTGAGTTTGAATTTTATTTCACTGCTGCTGCTGTCGCTTGATGCAGATATTTTTTATGTTTATGCAAGCGCTTTTAGTTTAGTGTTTTTGCCTTTGTTTTTGTTGTTGCCATTATTCTCTTCATATCTTGCAGACTTTTGGCGCCCTTTTTTACCATTTTCTTCCTTTCTCTTCCACTGTTTATAGCATAATACTGAGCCATTTGTTTGTTTCGGTAGCAATGTGCGGCTTTAAGACACCGGCAGATGGCGCCACCAGCTCTAAAATGAAATGAATTGTGTTGGCGTTGATAAATGTAACTTTAACCCTTTGCATATCTATTGTATGTAATGTCAGGATTATTTAGTGATGCAGTGAATTTAAGCTTTGCTTATTTAGATTTTGACTACACATCTTACTTTGTTGCCGGAATCACAATTTCGGCCTGGCATTAGACGTTTCATTCAAAGATGATTATATTTAAATAGCTTACCTGTTTACATTTTCTTATGATGGCTTTAACTATTTAACAGTTAATTATTGTTTTATAATGTCATGAAATTAATAAAAAACTTAAAAATAAATAAAAATTTCGAACTACAAAAAAAAAAATTAGGAAGAGTAATTAAAAACTTAAGTTTATCACGTAGCAAAATCAGAGCTTTAAGTATTTTTGATATTGCTTAGTTGGTATGTTACATTTGTATATTTGCTGAAGTATACGAAATATGAAAATTATTATTGTATGATAGCTAACCTTTTAACTCTAGCTTTTCATGATAACATAATCGTTTGTCTTAAAAAAAATTAAAAAAATACTTCTTGAATATTAAGCGGTGCTTTTAAAACTTGAAACATACATAATTGTCAAATATCAAAATTCAATCTATACATATCTATGTGTGTCTCCTCCTCACACACAAATCGTCACGATTTACATATGTATATACATACAATTGTATAAACATACAATTTACAAAATTATTAATTAAAAATTTAATTAAATTTTTTGTCGCGTTCGTGATGCATTGTTTTATTTTTGTAAATAATACAAAAACGACATGATCTCACAGTTGGTCCTTCATAGTAAGAATACTGTTCATAAAATGTACAAAACACATAAAAAATATTTTTGAAAATATTAATTTTTGTCATATATATATTTTTTTTATTTAAAGCTTTACAAATATCACGTTCTCGATCCTGGAAATACCCATATGTTATACACATTTATATAAGTATGTGTATATATTTACATACATATTAATTTTACAGATTCCGAAACAAAAACATCGGTTGCTTGGCAAATTTCAACAACTTTATGAAAACTCCGAAGGTTAACTTATCCTGAGGTTTACGCTTACTTGACGTAACTCTCTCTTTTAGGGTTCAACACTTTCGATATATGTGCCTACGAGTATTACAAAAATTGTGTTTAAGATCCTACTCTGTGCAAAATACAGCTTTGACGCAACTAAATCAGTGTAATAACCTTTCGTATTCAAGTATTTCTTATTAGTAATTTATTTGTGTCATCATTTTTAAATATTTTACTATATATCGAACGATTCATCGATTTAGTTAGAATTCCGTATTATGTAGATGCATATTGTAAAATCGAAGTGCTTAAAAGGTTGAAGTACTAGAGTACACCTGTAGAGCTAACAAAAAAATGTTGGAAAAATATTTGTTCTCGGTAGAAAATATTAAGCCTGGAGTGTTCAGTTATATATTTATCAACTCGAGAGGTAATCAGGTTCCAACAGTTCGATTAAATGTAAATAAAAAATAACTTTACATACATTTTTTTTTATCATATGAATTTAACATTCGCTTGATAATTCAATATTATCTCTTATTAAAAGCTAAAACCATGTTAGAGGTTTAAATGTCCATAGATAACATACTTTGTTACAGACTCTATATGTCAGATTTATATTCTTAAGGGGTTACATGGGTCTTGTAAATTAAAAATAACGATTTTTTTTATAATTCACTTGTACAACTCGATCCGAGCCAAATTTTCGGATATATAGCCACTTAAGCCTCGTAGTTACGGTTGACTCGACTCAACTTTCAGAAACTTTAAACGTGTTTTTCTCAGAACTTATTTTTTTAAGTCGGTAGTCGAATTTTCATGAAAAATTATGAACCGATCGACTTGAAATTTTGCATACCGAAGGATTTTTCTTTTCATCATTACAATTCAGTTGGGTAATACGTAGCCAAATTTAGTGCAAAAGTGCAGATGATTTGCGAAAAACGCATCAAAAATTAAATTTTCTAATTTTCTTAAAATCCTTCGTTTAAGCAGTAACTATAATCATCTACTAAAAGAAAAAAATTGTTACCTAAGTTACAGTGACTATCGTGAGGATACTCTTCTGACGGTGACGTTAGTTAAGGCGCTATCAACGGCTGAGATGAATTTACAATATTTTTAATGCAAATTTTCGTAACACGAAATAATTATTATACTAATGTTGTAGCTTCAAAAAAACAAAAAAAAAAAATCCAGACAAATACCCATGTTACCCCTTAAACTACAAGGCGATTTTTCATTATACCCTTTCTCTCCAAGAATCTACTCATTTATTGGAACCGGCGATATCAGATCATTATTGCATATAGTTGCCATACAAACTGAAGCCCTTGTATGGAAAACTTTTTTGTTTGACGAGTTTAATTATTTAATCGAACTACTATGGCATAAAGCTGTCAAACATCAAAATCAAAATGAAGATATTTTTATTCTTTTTTATGCTATAAGAAATGCACGTATAAATTATAACTTCCTATGTTTAATTGCACATTTCTATGTACCTGCGTATATTAATACTCGTACATATGTCAATGTGACCATATAAATTAACACATACAATGTTAGGACTTAATGAGCAAATCCATACATTCTTATATATATCTTATCTTATATGACCTAAAGTGTTTTAAATTGATTAAAAAGCAAACTTGCAAATCCATGCAGCTCGTGCGCAATTAATTAACTTATCAAATAACGACAAGCAACATTTTGCTGCAACTTACCAATAATTAGGTGAATTACAAATTTATTCATGTTTAAATGGTCAGATTTTATTCATTATTATTAAACATAAGTAATAACTCCGCTGCCTTTGTTGAAACTTTAACTATGTACCTATAAGCACAGGCAAACATATTCTTCGATTTTTGTTTTCGTTTTTTTTTTTTTCATTTCGTATTCCCCCCATTTTGTCACAATATTTTCGCTTGCAGTCAAAACATTCAAGTCAATCGCGTAAATATTCACGCCAAATTTGCATAAGTTCGCAATAAAAAGGCCAAGCGTCGACGAGTTGAGAGCAAAATCCGAAAGGCAAAACGGCAATACGGCAACAACAAAATTGTGTTTGGTGTTTGATAAAAAAAAATAAAAATAAACTCACACAAAATTGTGACGACGCTATGCAAGTGATGTGGATGGGTGTTAGAGCGACTTTGGCTGGAATGGTGAGAGAAGTAGCAACAGGGGTGAGCTTTTGCAAAATGTGAGCGGCGCAACGGAAGGGAAAACGACAGGTTGGGGCCTGCTCATGTGGCATGCGGATAACGGGAGCAGGGCAGAGCAGCTGATTACAAAACTCCGCCTCCACAATAAGCGTAAACAACTCGGAGGAGACGAACAAAGCCAACAAAACACAACAATAAAAGCAACATAAAATCGACAACAAAGCCAACAAAAACAACAAACGCATTAAAGCAAAGTACAACAAGTTTACATGAGCACCCATACCAAATAGCAACAACAGCAACTGAGTGAGTGTTTAGCTGAAAAGGGCGAAACACAAAACAACAAAATACATTCATAAAACAAAGAGAGCATTTAGCGTATTCGCTTAATGTTAGAAAGAGCACCTAGCGGCGCTCGAGTGCCGCGCACACAGCACATGCGCCATGACGTAAAGAACCGGTTCGCTTAACAGTAGCGCAAGTGAGCGCACTACACACGACTCTCTAACTAGGCGCGCTCTTTCCGCCAATTGCCATCACAAAGTCAGTGCATACTTGACCGAGTGGCGCGGCGCTACTGTTGCTGTCTGATTGGCGAGCTGCCGAAGTGAGCAGGCACGACAATGTAGTGTGCTGCTCTCACGTTCACACAATTCGCACGCTCAACAGGGTAGTCGTGTGGCCGACGCGTATAACTGGAATATGTGCTAACTGGTTTTTCCAGTCCCAAAGCCAGTTAGTTTATTCGCACTGACTTATGAGCGTTGTGCATAGTTGCGGTTCGGTCGGCTCACTTGCACACGCGACAACGACAAGCGACAAAATGTGTGCAGCGTGTGAGCGCGCAGCAAATGAAACCAGTATAACGAAGCGTTGCTTAGCCGGTCTTCCGGCTCGTTGTTGGCTAACTAACTGGCTTTCGGACTGACAGGCGTCGTTGGCGTTGTCGTTGTCGTCGTCATCGTCATCATCGCCATCGCCTTCACATCGGGTTGGAGCGAGCAAAAGTAGCAATAGCAGTAACAGCGGCAACAGTAGTAGTTTGTGTTCGCGAGCATATTTGCAGCGCAGCAAATGATCACATAATCACCTCGTACCTAGTCGTTCACGCACTTTGTTTGTGGTTGGTTGCGCGTACAAATCGTTCGCAGTGTCTCGAATCGAGCGGTGAATTTACTGTGTGTGGTTTGGTTTGGTGTTAACTCGCAAAAATTCAAAACGCGCTTTGACGTGTCTAAACGCCGTCGTGTTAACGTTGTCAATACGCGCGATTGTCGTCGGTGGCTTAAAAAGTTAATATATTTTACTGTTTTTGAAAGGAAAAAATGTATTAAAAAATAAACGAAATTAAATTGTGTACAATTGGAAGGTAAAGAGAAAAAACAATTTTTGAAAATACCAAAAAACCTAACGGTTGCGCGCGAATTTAGCGATTAGCTTGAAAATCTCTAATTTGCGTGATTCAGTTGACTAAAGTGCTTTTCGAAGGACGGATAAAAGCAAATCGATCTGAGTTTTACTTATATAATGAGTTTTATAATAAAAGAAATAACAAATACGAGTACTAAAATATAATAAAAAATTTTATTTATATAAACAAGAAAGTGTTGAAAAACAAATTTTTTTGAAAAAAGAAACTTATTAAAAACTGTAAAATATTAGATACAAAAACGAAAGCAGTGTTAAAAAATTAAATATTATGAAACAAGAAACTAGGAACTCAAAAATTCGAAATTTTTCAAAAAGTAATTAAATACTGAAAGTAATTAAGTCACTTTAAGTGATTTTGATTCTAGTTATTCTAATTATCTTTCCCAAAAATTCCAAATCTCTGTGCTGTCTTCAGTTCATTCACTAAGTGCTGAGCTCTGCTTAAGATCAAAAATAATAATTTTGCTAGCAATTGTAAAAAAAAAAAATTGAAAATATTGACAAAAAGCAACAATTAAAACGCTGCAGAGAAACTCACGTGTGTGGCCGAAATCACGCATCAATCCCTTTCCACCCGCCCAAAGCTCCCAAAGCAGGCAATGCGACAGTGCAACACCCACGCCAACAATTAGCAAAACCAAAAACAAAGCACGCACGCTAAAACATACATAACATATACATATATATATATATACATATAATGTACATCTATATATCATATAAACGTCAAGAAACTTTTGTTGCGGAGCATTCATGATCGCCGTCGCGTAGAAAATCGCTAATTGCAGTGCGAAAAGAAAAATGACACAAATTATACGCTAATTAAAAGTGCAGTCTACTACTAGAGAGCAGCAGTTAGCGTGAATAGTGGCATTGTTGTTGCAATTAAAAATTCGTTGTTGAAAGTATCTATTACTGCCTTTAAGTCGTAAAGTGCGTGCTATTGTTTATAATTCTCTAGAGGGCAAAATACAATACAAAATAACAAAAAACAAAAGTGACTTAAATCATAAAAACAACAAAAAAAAACGCATTTTATTTCTAACACAATTTGCTGCAACTGCATCATACTTTAAATAGTAGGGTTTCAGAAATAAAAAAGTTTTTAATAATTCAATAAAAAAATAAAATAAAAAATTTTTAAAAATTGTATAAATAAAAAACACTGAATTTATATTATACAACAACTAGTGTGTGTATTTTCACTTTGTGCACGCGTCCCCTAAAAAGCCGTCAAAATTCTTGATAAAGTGGCCTCGATAGGCGCCAACACGCTTAACTTCACCGATTTAGGGAGCCCCTATGAGGGGCCTCCCAGCACACCACAATCCGGCATGGATGCACCAGATGCACCGCACACACCCAAATATATGGATGGCGGCACAACAACAACGGGCACACCAGGCGTACAAATACCGGGCAAATCGGCATTTGTGGAGCTGCAACAACATGCCGCCGCCGGGTGAGTTGCATTTTGGAATGCATTTACTTGAATATAGAATTGAATATTTGTGTTAATAAAGTGATGAACGTAATGTGCTACTAACATATGTATATGTTACTTCCTGCTTAGCTGGGGTTTTTGATATATCGCGGTTTGTGCTATTCAAACGCTATAGATAGCAAACTCCTTACAATAGAAAGACTAGAAATATGTAGTTCTAGATAAATTAGGTATTTCTTTAAGTTTCAGAAAATACGAAAATTTTCGAAAAATGTTTTCAAAAGCGAGCGCCGTAGGAGAAGAATCTACTCGTATGCTTAAATGGTATTTATTACCTTTTGAATAAATAAAATCGAAATATTTAAAGTTTTCAGCAGTTATTGAAATATGCAGATATTTTCAATTTTGAAAATACTAAAATTTATCAAATTAGTATTCTAAATACATATATTCGAACTCTGCATATATATTAGTTGTGATGTGCGCTTTTTCCAACATGAGTGTAAAGCTGTGAAGGGTCAATTTAATACAGCTATTGGTGTGTATACTTATGAAAATGTCTAAAATATATGGGAAACTCTTACTAAAATTTACCATTATATAACATTTTCAATTTTTATTTTTTATTACCTAGCTGAGTATTGCAAATAATTGTGAACATAAGTATATTAACACAAAATTTAGCTCTCGTAGTTTTCATCAAAAGTATATCGAAGTTTTGGGCTTATAATTTTGTAATAGTAAAAATAAGTGCGTGATTTTTTCCAGTGTACTTCAAGTTTTTTTAATAAATTTCTGAATTTTCGAACTTTTTTAATATTGTATTTTATTGTATTTATTACCTGATCAAATCATCATCATTTAAGGAGCTATATCCACTTGCAAGTAAATAAATGTTTTTTTTGTGCAGAGGCATAGTATTTAATGAATAAATAAAAAAATGTACGTTTACATAATTTATATACAAGTACTTCAACAATCGGCTATTCATTTTGAAAAATTTTGGATTCCGCAACCGATATGCAGGAGAATCTCCGAAACCAAAAAATTTTATTATTTTTATAGATCAAAACATTATGTTGTAACAAAATGGCGGGTTACCAAAAAAAAAAAAAATAATTTTTTTATGAAAAAATGTACAGCTCAGATTATCTTAATAAGTCGAAACTATTATCAAAAAACTTATTCCTTCGATCATTACCTGACTTATACATATGTAAAAAGTCGTGTAAAAATTATAAGATAATTAAAAAAATTCTTTCAAATACGCTTATATCTCGGAAACTATTAGCCGCAATAACTTCAAATATTCGGAGAATAGTATCAAATATATATACATGCGATCACATACTATATGCAAAAAAATTATTTTTTTTAAATTCACAAGTAAATAAGGCGTGAATTCGTGCATTTTTTTCTTTTCAAATATTTTCGTCTCAGAATATTTACTATGATAACGTACCGTAGGCTTTCAATTTTGTATTTTCTGCTACTGGATTATTAAGAATCTTTCAAAAGAATTTTAGGTGGTCTATTTTATTAAAAACATTCGTGTATCCATCGCTTTTATATGCAAAACTCCCCCAAAGCTAAAAAAAAAAATTATTCGAAATTATTGTTTTCACGATTATAGGCCCCCACACAGCGGCGTAATATGTACAGAAGCTAATTTCTTTGCAGTAAAGGTTGAAAAAATCTGGAACCCTAAAAGTCATTGTCAAGCAATTTCGCTGCAACTCAGGAATTTTTCCAAAGAGACTTTTTAAAATGAAATTTTGGTGATCATTCCCCTGAGTAACTTTAATATAAATTTGATAACAATTGGAAGAAATAAATGAAGGAGCTATATTTTGAAGATGCCAATACAGATTTGTTTTAAATACCGTGAAATTATTATATATTATATTAATAGTCAAGGCTTAGTTTTAAGGGATTGTATGTGAAAAATTAGCAGTTTTTAAACGGCGAATATACATATATTTTCATATCAACTAATATTTTTTTATATTTATTATAAAACTTATTTATACTCTGAATATTAAAAATTTGGCTTTGGTAACAGTCGAAAACTAAGTCATTATTTTCTGCCTAAAAACAACAATAAATTATAGGCAAACATATCTTGCTGATAACGGATAATTTTTCAATTTCAATTTTTTGGATAAAATGGCAAATTTAACAAGATTTTTTTTTTCAAATTACAATACTTTTATGTAGACAATAAAATGTTTCATTTTAAACACTCACCCTCTTTTCATTAAAAATTATTAGTTCCACAAAATCTGAAAATAAAGCAAAATACATTATAAGAAAAAGAACAAAGAAATAAATTAAAATTTATTTTTATCAACTGTGAAATTTATTATTGTTAAAATTTAACTCACGATTGATGAGTAAAACAGAATGTTCATTGTCCAGTGCGTTGCAAAGTAAATAAAGTGCATACAAATTAAAAATATCTCGCTGCCAAAATCTTGTATAAAAATAAATCAACTTTAGAGTGCGCAGCTAAAATACATACATATATGAAAACAATTAGTGACGATTAAAGAGTTTGAAGTATACACTAGTCCACTCCTTCATATCGCAGGGCTCAGAAAGCATTTTTTTGCTGTTGACAGCTTTTCTTGGCGTTCATTCTTATTCTTCACATATGGCAAGCCGTCAAAATGACAAATTAGCCGAACATTAAGGCGCAAAAAAACATATTTGCAGGTGAAGGCAAAGAAAAAACTATGAAATATGCATATTAGTCGCCTTATCAGTGAATCAGTGGTAAAACATAAGCGCAGGCGCTGCCATGAAAAATGACAAACACATGTGTACAAACATATCTACATAGAGGAAGGTAGCAATGTGTTATAAAATATAGCCGCGATTGCGTTGGACAAATGAGAAACGACATTTTGGCCAGCAAAGCCAGTGGCCAACCAAAGAAAAGCACAGAAGGTCGACGACACACCCATCGCGCTGCGACGTTGGGTTGAAGGGAGTTTTGTAGCTAAAAAAAAAAAATTATAAAAATTAAAAAAAAATAGAAAAAAATTGATAGGGAAAATTTTTATTACATTTGAGTAAACTATATTCGTAGTTTTTTTCTAAATTTAAATAAACTACCATATTATTATTATTTTTAAATTTAAATAAATTAATATTTTTTATCACGTTGCGGAGTTGCGTTCAGTAGTGTTTTGTAGATTGCAAAAACAAATAAAAATTAAAAAATATAACAAATTAATAGTGAAAAAATTGTATTTAATTAAACTAAATTATAATTATATACTTAAAAAATTTTAAAACTAAATTTAAATCATATGTTTTTTAAATTCAAACATTTTTATTGTTTTAATAAATTAGTAATTTTTATATCGCTGCGGCGGTGTGCTGGGTGAAATTTTATAAAATTGATAAATAAAAATAGAAAAAATTAATTACATATTGTAAAAATTATAATTATATGTTTTAAAATTTAAAAATGAAATTTATATCATTTTTTAAATATATTTATAAAAAAATTTATAAAAAAAAATTAATAGAAAAACCAATTATTATATAACTTAGTTAGAATTATATTTTTTCATATTTCTTAAATACAATTTTTGTAAATTTAGTAAATTATAATTTTTTAAATTTAATTAAATTGTTAATTATAATTTGTTTATTCAAATAAATTAATATTTTTATACAATACTTTTTCAATGAGGCTACCTCTTAAGCAACTTAACTAACTAATTTTTTATACAGACTACAGTTATGTACATATAAATAAGTATATGTGCACGTAACGGAAATGCGCGTAAATTAATAATAAAAATATAAAAGCAAAAACGAATATTGTGCGTTGGTGAACGCGTCACTACTACTGCATACACATACACACATACATACACATATAAGTATAAACACTGCAACACCCCACATTACTTTCAGCAACATTGCTGCACATATTTGTTGTTATTGCTATTTTTAATAGAAACTAAACTAAATAGACGACATAGTTCGCGCCATAAAAATTCGTTTAAATTTATGAACTTTGCTGATGAGTGCCCTGATTTTTTTCATTGTGCTTATTCCTTTTTCAATTGCACTACAAGTATTTATGTGCATGTATGTGTGTGTGTGTGTGTGTGTGACGGAAATGTACGTAGCGTGGCGTAGATTCAATTAAAACTGTTGTAAATATTCTGTGCGTGATTTATTTGTAGCGAAAGCAAGTCGAGGCCCAAAGTAAGTATATATAAATATATATATACATACACATATGCGGGTGCAAGTCACTAAATGTCCGTCTGTTCATTGACTTTTGATGTTGATTTGTCGATTAGAATTTTGCTTCCTTTAGCATTGCTGCAAATCGTTGTGACCGGAAGTGCTTAATTATTATTTTGTGCCCTTAATTTAATTTATATACTGTATATGTATGTATATATGAATGTATACAGTTTGGGCATTTCGTTTTCCTTATTCAAATTGAAAGCAAATCTTTATAATCACTACAATAAAATCGGAAATTTCCGATGGCTTGCGCGCAATAAAATATTTAGCATTTGGTGGCTAAAAATTAATTAAGATTATACGAACTTATTTTGATTGGCTTAAGTGCGCAGTGTCGCGTTAAAAAATTTTAGATTTTAAAAACATACATTATAACAACACGATTTAGAAATATACTGTCTATCAAACCACTGTAATGGGTATGAAATTCCTACTATTACATATAATAATATATTAAAAAGAATATAAATAATTTTACTACTTAAAAAAAATGAAAATAATAAAAAATAGTTTTGTTCTCATTCTCTTCCGTCGCTTTTGCATAGCTTTTTTAATAATTTTTTTAATAATTTTTTTTTAAATTTGTTAACGATTGAAATATTTTTAGGTTTTTAATTATCGCTGCATATCGCACGTTTCCAATTGATATTATAACAGTAGCTCTACAGTAATACCATCATCTAGTAAGCAACATACGATTTATTTTTGTTATTATTTACACATTTTTATAAACAATTTAATGT